TTTAGTATGAATTTATTTCAATACCCAATGAAAACTCAAAATACCGAATTACAGCTAATTCGGTTAAAAAACTAGGCAGTTTTAATGTATGCCAAAGCTCTATCTTGTTCAACAGAAAGAAAATAGACTCAAAAGAGCTAAAGTGAACTGCCGAATTTGGTTTTCTCCGATAAGAAAACATTCGTTGTCCAGCAGTTGGTAAACAAAAAAAAAAAAAAGAGAGATCGTGTTTTCTTGCCAAAGAGGTCAGCTGAAAATGTGCAACTTCGGTTGGCCGGCGCCATGGTGATGGTGTGGGCCGCCATAACAGCCGATTGTCGCACATTGGCCACCAACATTTCAGATCTCCAATCCGTTGGACTATTGTGTCTGTAGTATTTTGGAAAGCAAAGTTCGATCACCTCAAGCAAGCGTTTCGCCAGGAATGGCTCAAAATATCGCAGAGCAACATTCGGTCAGCAACATTCATTGGCCGTTTGAAGGGCATAATTCGTGCCAAAGGTGACCAATGCGAAAAAATCTAAACTTATTCTAAAATTTGATGATATTTCCGACATTTATGGGAGCTATATATTTTCTGAACCGATAAAAAAAATACTCCATGAATGTGTTGTTTTGGTAAAAATTGTCGACAGTCCAAGGCATAGGTAGTACTGTCACTATCTATGAGAAGGGAAGAATCATTCTTCACTTTTGTCAACCGCATGCAGAATTGAAGGAGGCACCTGCCATCATTGCAGTATTTAGATATGTGTCAATACTTATGAGTTCTTAAAAATTTAGAAAATTGTTTTCATACTTCTTTTCAACCCATATCTAAGGATTTTCTTTTTCTTTTAGATTTGATCAATTAGATTAGCTTTGGATGTTACAAACTCAAGGTTTCTTTTAAAAACTACATTTTACTCCCTATGGATTGATTTATTATAATTTATTCATAAGAAATTGCCACACCTCTCTGAACAAATTTCCAAAAAGACAAACATGTAACGCAACGATTACGCAGCAAATATTACAAAACGTACAATTTCAAATCGCTTCTATTTGTTTCTGGAAATTACAATCTCCATCGAGAGAAATATCTAGTATTTATCAAAAGGTTCATTCAGCCAGTCAGATCCCAATGCACAACAATTTACGTTTTGTATATATTGACATACATACATATAAACATGAAGAAGAAAGAGATTACAATAATATCTCGTTATCGAATGAACATTTGTATTGCGAAGATGTATTACAAAAACATTTGTAGCATGTAGAACGCTTTCAGGTATTAGCCAGAAGAATTTGTCTAAAGTTCATTGCCAAAAACTCAGAAAAAATGATTAGGTTTCGCATCGATTTTTTCTATTTTTGAAATTATTGTTTTTTTTTTGGTTTTGTATTATATCTCATGAGTGTTTTTCTATTTCTTGTTCGATCATTCGTTTTGTTTTCGTTTGTTGACGTTTTATTTTGTTTGTTTTTTTCATTCTACAAAGGTTGATTATTATCAGACGGAATGCTCTAAAGAACAAAAACAATAATGGCAAGAAAAACGCACGTGAAGAACGCATGGGGTATTACGGTGGTGATAGATTATGTTAATGATGACGTGAATAGTTCGTATATTTCACAAACGTAAGTATAGATCTCTGTCGTAAGCAAATTGGGACTGGGACAAATTTAAAATTCCCACAGAAAAGATGCTCGGAAAAGACCAATCTCGTTGGTTTAAGAATTCGATATTGAATGTATTTGAAATTGTTTTTATTTTTACTGATACGAATTCGCAGTTTATAGCTTTTTTAAAATTATGCTCAGTAACAACATTCGTCTACAGGGAACAAAGCTGAAATGCCTTTGAACGCTTCGACATATTGCGAATAAAGAAAAATCCAATACATCACAATTGGGACTAAAAAAAGAGTATCGATTAAAATTGTCCCTTATATATCAAAAATTAACATTCTAGTTGACCCATCAATATTGAAAACGTCCAACTTTTTCATTAAATATTTCCCATCATAGCTTACTTTACTTTTTAGAGGAAAATCTTTAAAAAAATAAACCAAATAAAAATTAATCAAATCAAAAAACAACAATTGCCTTATCTTAGATAAATTTTATTTTATATTTATTTACCCCATTGCCTTATTTGTTATTTAAGGTTAATATTTCAATCCCCTGGGATTTTCTATGTCTTTTTATCTTAATCCCTTAATATAAATATTTACCCACCATAGAAGAAATACAAAAATAAATATGTAGATAAGAGAATGTCTCAATAAAGTGCAACTAATTCAGGTAAAGAAAAAATATAAAAACAAATATCAAAATATCTCGAAACGAAATGTTGTTTATACAAAACACATACAATTGTTTAAATTACACAACGGTCGACAGCAGAAATTTCCTGAATTATCATTGAAATTACAAAATGTTATGTAATTTGGAATGGACTATTTAAACTACATTATTGCGGCAGGAAGTTTAGGTATTTGTGAATACTCATTGCATTTATTGGAAAATTGTGGAGGACGGGGTAATAAGTAAGTAAGGGGTAATGCACGGTAAAATTGCTGCTATAAAATTGATTCCATCCATCATGGTGTCCAATACAATCGAATTCGGTAAATACTGTTGGAAAAATGTGTAAGAACATACCAAAATAGCATCGAATTTTACGAATTTGAATTTATTTTTTAATAAAAAACCAAACCGCATAATGATACTGAACATTTTCGAAAGTAAAAAAACTGGAACACAAAAGTTTTTGCTTATTTTAATTCCCTTTGAATAGTAAACCCCCATCGCAACTTCATTATATATCCGAATCCAATTGGAATTTTCTATACAAGAATAATATTTACAAAATATCTCAATTTTGTCTCAATCGAACAAACGTCGATAGTATGGTGCACCATTTACATAAAATCGGAGGATACTATATGTTTGAGCTATATCTAAATTTGAACCGATTCCAACAAAATTTTTGTCTCAATCAGAAAAATATTGGGATTTTGGTGCATCATTCACATAAAATCGGACAAAACTATATATATGGGAGTTATATCTAAATCTGAACCGATTTTAACAAAACTGTGCAGACATCAGTCTGGACCTAATTCAATACTCTGAGCAAAATTTTGTCTCAATCGGCCAAATATTGGGAGTTTGGCGCACCATTCACATAAAATCGGACGAAATTATATATGGGAGTTGTATCTAAATGTGAATCGATTTTAACAAAACTGTGCAGACATCAGACTGGACCTAATTCATTACTCTGTGCAAAATATTGTCTCAATCGAACAAATATTGGGAGTTTAGTGCATCATTGACATAAAATCGGACGAAACTATATATGGGAGCTATATCTAAATCTGAAACGATTTTCTCCAATTTCAATAGGGTTCGTCCTTGGGCCAAGTAAGTGACCTGTATCAACCTTCATTCAAATCGGATCATAATTGCGACCTGTACTTTGCTCACAAAACTACATGGGCAGCGGGACAGACGGGCGGACTTGCATATATCGACTCAGAAAGTAATTCTATGTATATTCTCAAAAGGAACCATGTGTCTATTTCGATTCCTTTTGCCTGTTGCAAACATATGCACAAAGACATAATACCCTGTACCATAGTGTGGAGAAGTGTATAAACTTCTACAGCATCTTTAGCTCTTCTCTACTCATAGAAATCAATGTTTTAGATTTACGCTTAGAGATTATCGACCATTGTAAGACTTATCACAAGTTCGTCGCCTACTACTTGGTTTTCCCTTTATGACGCTGTGACTTGGAACCCCACAAAGTCTACCAAAATTACGAATATACAGAAGGGGTAGTCCATGACTTAATTGCTCTTAGGGTCGTTTGATTGTCAACAAATATAGTTACCGTTCCTGAGTCACTAATACGTAGGACCTTGAATTACATCGTTTCGTTCGTAATCGACTTGTAGGAATTTGAAATAAATAAAAATAAAATAAAAAAGGGAATCGCTTCAAAAACACTCTGTGAGTAGAAAATAATTTGAAAAGTATGGGAACGCAAATTTAGTAAATATGTCAAAATTAGATGGCAATACTTCAAAATCAGCATAACCAGCCAATCAGAAGTTGGCATTCCTTGTAAAACTAGTAGATATAATAATAGTAAAAAAGTCCCGATTCATATTACTATTATTATATATTACTATAATAATAGTAATATGAATCAGTACTTTTTATAGGGATTGTGTGAAAATATTTACCTATAGGGTAAGTGTACCAATTTTTTATAAATGAATCGGCTTTTAGAATACTAATTTAACATTTTTTTAAAATTGAGCCAAAATTAGCAAAAATGTGCTTATTTTTCACCCATATGCCGACTACAGGAAAGTCATAATTTTTTTTGTTCCATTTGGCTACAAAAGTCTACATGTGTTAGGAATTACACTAAATTACAAACTTATTATATCATTGATATTATTTTCACAATCCATTTAAATTGAAATAAATATGTAATCACATTACTCCAATTATTCTGATTCATTCAATGAAATTTGTCCTTGCTTGTAGATTGCACAAATCCGTCTACGTATGATAACATTTGTGCAATTGATTGATTATATATCTGGACTGTGTTACTGAGAAATAATAATCACTATAGCTAATCTCTTGCCTATCGACGGTATCTATAAATAATATAATGTGTTTTCGAAATCGAATCGACAAATATAAATAAATTTAATTTATAAAAGCTTCACATCAAAATATCCGAAAACAGACCCTTTTTTGCCAAAGGCGAGGCTGTAATCGAAAACTATAACATTAAAAATATTTCACTATTCTGCTTTTATCCTTCGAAGGCCTGTGGAATTCTGAAACTACAAGTAAAAATTTTCAGTAGTATATCCTAGATTTATTTTTTTGTTACACACCACTGTCCTACTTCATTTCTAAAAAAATCAAATTGGATTAAAATTACTCCTTAAGAATATTTAAATTATTTTATTATTCCAACTTACCCGCCAGCTACCAAATGTATGATGGTATCCTTTTGTCCTTGGGACATTCTCAACGATTTTTGTTATTATCAATTATTTATATTCAAAAATTCCAGCACAAAATGAAAATTCCTCAAGTTATTATTGTCTGGGTTTAATAACTTCTTTTTTTCGACGCGCAATCTATATAAATACAACGAATTGTCAAAAATGAATGCGTTCGCGTTACGTGTGTGTGTGTTTTGCACTTTTAGCGGCGGACGGTGATGGTATGCGTAATATTTTTATTATGTTTTCAACTAGCAAAACAAAAATCGAGAAAATAAAAAAACAATCGACCGACCGGCTGTTTTTGTGTTCTGCTTCTTCTTCTTTGCGCCGCACAAAATATATGGAACGAGTGAAACGATGAAAAACGAACAAAGTGTAGAAGAATATGCAATCAAAACACACAGTAAAAAAACCGGTAAATTTTTTCGAGTTATGGTGTTGTGTGGTGTGCAAGCGAGCGAAGGGGGTGTTTGTTTTCGTTTTTTGCACTCTGATGCTATTTTTAGCTGCGTTTTTTTCTATTAAATTTATTTTCGTAATAAAAATGACAATTTTTTGTTAATATTTTTTCAAAGAAAAAAAAATTGCAAAAATTTATTTCTTCAATTAATTGATTTCTCAGGCGAGGTAAGGAGGGTTTGAATGCACAATTTATTTTTGTTGTTGTTATTCGTGTGCACAGTAAAAAATCTGAGTTACGATTATTTTTGTTGTTTTGTTTTTATCCGAAATACGCAGTAACCCCTTTCTTTCTGATAACACAACTGTCATTCACTTGTATGCTCTGATTTAGTCGCGGGGACGGCAGGCAAAGGGCAAGATAAGTACTATTGTGCCTGTGTGTATGTTGTTTTCTGCTAAATCACGTTCGTTCAAGTAATAAGTAAAAGCAGCACAGTAAATGAAAATTTACTCCCAATTACATGGGAGGGACAAATCGAACGGACATAAATTGTTTGGCACTTGATGTTTCAATTATTATTTGCACGTCACCCTTAGTATTCCGATTATAATTCAAAATTATTACACAAGAGGTTGGTTGGTTGATTGGTTAGGGTATGATTTTTTTCTTGCAAGATATTCTGCCGCCACTCGAATGTTTAAAGCACCAAAAATAGAAACAAAACAAATCTCAATTGCTGATGAAGAATTTTGGTTTTTCTTTTTCACCGAACAAGAAAAAAATCATCAACAACGAGTTATGTAATTTTTTTATAGTCGAAAAAAAATCTTTTACAATAGTCGTTTTCTTCGTTAGATGTTACCCCGGAAATTTTTTTGCACACAATTTGTATTTTTTCTTCATTGACACCTTCACACCAAATGTTGTGCACTGTCTTGTCGTCTGTTGGTTAATCAGATGGACGATGGGTGGTTCTTCTTCTTCACTACTCAATTTGCGTTATGTGTGGCCACCAAATACGAGCAGCTATTTAGCTTGCAAGCACATTGACATCCAATATAATTGTTTCGAGGCTTTTTTTCTTCTTCACAATTTCGCAAATATTCTTTTTTTTCAACAACGATATTTTTTCTTGCTTCTTCACATGTGTTTTTGTTCTCGAAGAAACGTATTATTTGCACAAACACAAATTGTTTTGCATAATTTTTGTTTTCTCTTTGCAAACTCTCTGCGTGTTTTGTTTTCCAATTGGACTTCTTCTGGTTGGTTGTCAAAATAAATATTGCAATTTTATTTTTTCTGTAATGGATGTTGGCATGACCATGTATGTGTAAATGACATTGTTGTTTTTTATTTTTATTCACTCGTATTTGTTGTTATTTTATCGCGCGCGCTAATCTTTTACGATTCGTTCTACCGTTGACCGTCGTTCTCAATGAAATGATTATTTGGATTCTCTGTCTTTTCTCTGTTTGGCTCAGGGATAAGTAAATCGACTTTTGACTAATCGATTAATCGATTTTTTTATTGAATAGTCAACAAGTCGAAAACGACTTTTGATGAAATCGCAAAGTCGCCTACAAAAACTTAAGTTATAAATATTTTTATGAAAAATATCTACACAATACATATTCTATGACGATTAAGAATATTATAAATGATTTTATGCATATTTTTAACTAAAAAAACAACAAAAAATGCAATAGGGAATCCTAATGATAACGAGGCATGCTCAATCAAATATTGCCACGGAATTTATAAAGGCAATAAGGAATGAAGCCCAATTTGATGCATTTTGGAGGCGAAATACAGACATTTTGTGTGAGGATCTGTCTCTTCTGAAAAAAATATTAAAACTTTTGGAAAAACCACATAGCCAGATTTACCTGATGAGCCGCTTAACAGTCAAACACTCAAATAAAATCTGAACCAATTTCAAGACAACTTGACACACGACAAGTTATAATTAGTTCAGTACATTGTACAAAATTGTGTGCCGATCGGCCAAACTTTGGGTCTTTAGTGCACAATTTACATTAAATCGGACGAAAATATATATGGGAGCTATAGCTCTGAACCGATTTTCACGAAACTTAGCACTTCATTCTGGAACTGATTCAGTACCTTATGCCAAATTTCGTGCAAATCGAAAGATATATAGGGACTTGGGAGCCACATTAACCTTAAATCGGACGAAAATATATATAGGAGATATAGACAAATCAGACCCGATTTTCTCGAAATTTGATACACGTCATTCTAGACTCAATTCAGTACACCATGCGAAATTTCCCGCACAATGAAAAATATATAGGATCTTTAATGCATCATTTACATAAATCTGTACCGATTATCTCGAAACTTAACACACGTCATTCTGGACCTAATTGAGTACCCTATGCCATATTTCGTGCAATTCAAAAGATAAATAGGTGCTTTGGTGCCACATTTACCTTAAATCGGACGAAAATGTATATGGGAGCTATATCTTAATCTGACCCGATTTTCATGAAACTTGACACACGTCATTCCAGACTCAATTCAGTACACTATGCAAAATTTCCCACAAATCGAAAGATATTTAGGGACTTTGGTGCACCATTTACGTTAAATCGGTCGAAAATATATATGGGAGCTATATCTAAATCTGAACCGATTTTCAGGAAACTTAACACACATCATTCGAGACCTAATTAATTCTGCTGTGCTAAATTTCGTGCAAATCGAAATGACTTTGACTTTAGCGCATCATTTACCTTAAATCGGACGAAAATATATATGGGTGTTATATCCAAATCTGAACCGATTTTTTTTCAATTTCAATAGGGTTCGCCCTTGAGCCAAAAAAAGTGAGCTGTGCCAAATTTCATCCAAATCGGATCATAAATGCGACCTGTACTTTGTTTACAATTTAACATCTACAGACGGACGGACATGCATAAATCGACTCAGAAAGTGATTCTATGCATATATACTTTGTAGAGAAACAGATCGTCGATCGAAACTATGGTAGGGGCAAGTCAAGTTCTGGTCGGAATAGTTTATTTGGGTAATGGGGATCTGAATTCATTTGATACCGATATATCCGACTTAATTGTACGTTACCCCAACATCATTATAATGGAAGGTATACAATATGATATGACAAAAAAATATTTCTCATCGAAATAAATGTTTTTGAACCCAAAAATCTTTGGCATAAATTTTTTTCAGACATTTTGAAGTTAACTGTCGTCAAGTTTAAACGCCCAAACAAGCGGTACATTTTCTTCAGCGGAGAGAACCAAAGCGGTTTTCGAATTTCATAAAAAGAACCAGTAAGGAAAGTAGTAAAGTCGGACGGAACGACTATATGATACCCTTCACCACTGGGTATATTCAACAGATGAATCTTAACAGACGACGCATTTCGTTCAAATCGAAACTTATATAGGAACTTTGGTACACCATCGTCAAGTTTAAACGCCCAAACAAGCGGTACATTTTCTTCAGCGGAGAGAACCAAAGCGGTTTTCGAATTTCATAAAAAGAACCAGTAAGGAAAGTAGTAAAGTCGGACGGAACGACTATATGATACCCTTCACCACTGGGTATATTCAACAGATGAATCCTAACAGACGACGCATTTCGTTCAAATCGAAACTTATATAGGGACTTTGGTACATCATTTACATTAAATCGGGCGAATATATATATATGGGAGCACCGATTTTTCCCAATTTCAATAGGGCTTGTCCTTGAGTGAAATATATGAGCTTTACCAAATTTCATCCAATTCGGGTCATAAATGCGACCTGTACTTTGTTTACAACATGGACAGACGGACATGCATAAATCGATTCAGAAAGTGTTTCTATGCATATTCTAAAAAGGAACCATCAACCCTATTCAGTATGTCGTCGTCGTTTCTTTGTCGACATCACTTCGACATTGATTTGGTACTCCGTAATGCGGTGTACACACTAGCATTTTTGAATGACACTCTTTTTTTTTTTTTTTTTGGATTTTGGTAGTGTAGCCGATTCTCAGCTGTGTTGGTCGGTTACCCGCAGTAACCATACACCACTACTATCGATGTTTATTGGTGTCGATAAATGTGTACATGATAATCGATTATATTAACATTAATTATAGCGTAATGTGCAAGGTATATTTAATAAGGTAGCCGCATCGGCCCAGCTGTTGGACAAATAAATGTCAAAAATGTTGTTGTAATGTTGAACCAAAAAATTAAAAAACAAAATTATGAATGAAAATCTCCGAATTTCGAAGAGCTTTTTTGGCAATACTTTTATTAACATTTTCTACAAGAATTTGTGTAAAAAAATGTTGTCAATCTGTTTGTTTTGGCAAAATATTTTTGACATATCAAAATACAACAACCGATGTTTGTTGTAGAAATTCGCCGATGCGGCTACCTTGTATATCTACCTTGGTAATGTGTATTGAGTGAATGAATTTGCATAATTCTTCGAGAGCTGGAATCGAGCGGCTATGTAGTAAGCTGGGTAAGTTTGTGTAATTGTTAAATATTGAATAATTAGTTCTGTGGGAGTTGTATTTGCAGCAATTGAAAATGACGTGGTTTTCGGTTTCGGGTGTGTTGCAGGAGTCGCAAAGGT